ACCCACGGTAGAAAATGGTATAGTGAGAACATTGTTAATGAAAAATGACTGGTTTTAAACCCGCTCTCTGAATCTTGCATCCGGGGCTAGGTTTGCCAATAAGAAGTACGTGGACATTGACATAGCTATTATAACTCAATAAAAACAGGGGCAAATTTCATAGAGCTGTTTAAGCACAAAATTTGCTTCAGAGTAAAAAAAATCTTGCTTAAAAAACAAAGGACACCAGCTAAAACTCTATTTGATTGTCATGCTTACCAAAAGACAGCTAAATACCATTCCAAAACAGTATACATCATATCTAATTTTGGCTGGTAACCTAATTTATCAAGCAAGGTTTTTTTGCACTTAAGCAAATTCTGTGCTTAAGCAGCTCTATGAAATTGGCCCCTGGTCTGGTACCCTGCCATCATTGTGATAGGGTGTTTTCAACAGTACTTTGTAGCCCACTCTGGGCTCAACTGTGAATTCAACTCATTTCTCGTCTGTGTACTTCTGTACCATGATTTCCAAATTCTGTTCGGATGACAGGAAGTGCAAAATGTGATTATTACATGAAAAGATTCAGTAGACTTTGTGAACACCGACTACTATCAGTGCATAAAGGTTGGATTAGGGTACGGGAAAGACAGAACCCTATTTCTTGGTGGCATTTTTGGTAAGCAGAAAATGCTATTCTGAGCATATTTCAAAAGTTAGTAAAGAGCTGTGGCTTGTGTATAAGAGCTCCTCTCATAAAAAGGAATTGAAGGAATCACGATTGACTTTTGTACTTTTTGCTGTAAGCACACAAAGAACACCGCAAGAGTAGTTCTAGCATTAGACTCTGTAATGCTATCACTTATCGTCTGTACGTTCACCACTTGTTGATGGGCTTTTTTTGGTGGAATGTTTTTGACTTTTGAAAAAGGCAATATATGGTGGCCAACTTGTGATGTACAGCCAAATGTTAAAAATTCTGCTTCGTAAAAGTCCTTTGGATGACATTTTCTTCAACACTGCAAGGCATGCCAGTGGAGTGATGTTTGCTGTAAAAACAGGCCATGCAGAGTGTCCAAGACACATCATCTGCATTCTGACACCCATCAGCCTTGGCAGTGAATACAGAGAGCCAGATTGTGTTTACACCTGTTCCAGCGTGAAGAAGTTAAACGGCACCATCAATAGTTCATGCACAGAGCAGATACGTGATGATCAAATGCTTAGCTGTGACAGCAAACATCCTTACCTTGAAAGACTGAACGAACGTCCAGAGCAGGATTCGAATGGAGGAACCCTGGCGTAGAAGTTTGATCAACCGAGCTGCTCGGAAGAGCCTCAAAACACTGAGATTGATGAAATCGTCCTGACAAGGGAAAGAAATGAAACAAAACAAAATCGCGTACATCTGTCTTCTGGAGGGTCTGGTAACCCAACAAGAGGATGGATGGATGGAATTCACGCCATACTTACAACCTACAAAGGGGAAAAAAATAAGAGACAGAAACAAGAAAACCCAAATATTACATGAGCATGCACAGGAACATGGGGCATTGGTAATAAAAACAGAAATGTGTACCTACCAAAAAAAAAAAGCAAAGATGGGGGTAGCAATAACCAGGGGCGGATCAAGGGTTAACAGGGGGTGGCAGAATTATGTAAGGAACAGTCTTACAGAAAAGGCTGCAAGAAAACACTGAGGGGGTTACCAGAAAAATGATTTGGGGGTTGATTCTATTTTAAACACTAAGGTAGAGGGGGGATACACGTTGGAAAAGGCATATGCTGAAATTACCTTTGTTTCCTCTGGATCCGACACTGATAATGTAGCAGCGCAAGGTTGGGAACTTGACCTAAAATTAGTTCTGCTTTTACTAACTGCAGAACAGTGGCTATGCACTATTTCTGACAGTGATGCCTCAGAGGAGCTTTAGAAGTCTTGTCAAGTATCCCATCATGCATTGTTACCTATAACTCTAACCCCATCTTTGCATTCAGCAAACTATCCATGAGTGGCCTGAACACACCTTGGTAATTCACATCAGTTTCTAAAAACAAACTTTATCTCTGACCAACATGTCAAAAATTGTTTTTGTCCGTTTACAAACATATATTAAACCTGGTCAAGTCTTAAATTCTAAATACAAGGATCTGCAGACCATTTGTGCCCACTAAGGACATGTTTTGCCCCAGTGCAAGGATATTTTCGGATCTCGGGTCTTCAGTTCATTTGACAGGGCAGGGGTGAACAATGATTTATGCAACAGACTGGCCGTTACCTTAGCAACAGAATAAACAGCACTCATGCAATGCAAGCAACAACTGAAATCATCATTTCTGAAGTGTTTCATGTTAGCCTTAATCGTAAAAGCATATGGTTGTCATTTTTTCCTGGTAGCAAGGTAACTGGTCATGCAAATGCTCAACTACCAATCAGTCGAAAAGGTTGAATCAATTGACTTCATGTAATAAGGTTAGGTATGAGAAATATGAACAAGTTGATTGGAATCCATGTCAAATGTGATACAATTCTGTATTGTAATCATACTACATGTAGTTTACCTTTGTCCTTGCATTTTTGCTTTGTTTTTCAGAATACAGATCACAAACCCAGGCTTGGGAATAAAGGCTGTAGGGCTTAGATTTGGAAATTAATCCTTTCTTTGGGATTTAAGATTTAAGGTTTGGGCTTGGGAATAACGGTTGTAGGGCTTAGATTTGGAAATCAATCCTTTCTTTGGGATTTAAGATTTAAGGTTTGGGCTTGGGAATAAAGGTTGTAGAGCTTAGATTTGGAAATTAATCCTTTCTTTGGGATTTAAGATTTAAGGTTTGGGCTTGGGAATAAAGGTTGTAGGGCTTAGATTTGGAAATCAATCCTTTCTTTGGGATTTAAGATTTAAGGTTTGGGCTTGGGAATAAAGGTTGTAGAGCTTAGATTTGGAAATCAATCTTTTCTTTGGGATTTAAGATTTAAGGTTTGGGCTTGGGAATAATGGTTGTAGGGCTTAGATTTGGAAATCAATCCTTTCTTTGAGATTTAAGATTTGGGCTTGGGAATAAAGGTTGTAGAGCTTAGATTTGGAAATTAATGTTTTCTTTGGAATTTAAGATTTAAGGTTTGGGCTTGGGAATAAAGGTTGTAGAGCTTTCTTTGGGATTTAAGAGGGGCTGGTTTGTTACTTACGCCAACTTCTGAGATGATAGCATCTGCGATGCTCCCGATGACCGTGATAAAGTCAAATGTGTTCCAGGAAACCCGGAAATAATTCTGTTAAAAGTTATAGTTGAGCATTATTAGAATGTTCCAGTCTTTCACAAGGTAAAGTACAGAATGGAAAACTTAATGGTTCATTTTCAGGTAAACAAGTTTGACAATATTTTGATAACCAAATAATTTATGTAGACTTAAACTCTATATATCTAAAATGTAGCAAAAGATTTGTTCAACTTTTGGGTGGTAAAATTGAAGAGCAAATTTATTTGAAACATTAGAAATTGTTAAGGCAAAAGACAAAACAAATACAAAAATAATGCATGATCATCTGCTTAAAGAGGAAAATATGTTGAAGTGAAATAATCTTTAATGTACAGCTCAAAATAAAAATGCTGACAAAAAATAAATCATGATGCAATATTGGTGAAATAAAGCTTTGCATATGATGTGGAATCTGAAATTCAAAAATTACCGTGCATATGCATAGTGGCAAATTTGCATGCAAATCAGCCAACTTTGGAGGGTTTTTTTTATAAAGATAAGAAGTTTTGGGGGAAATATAACAGGTTGCTTGCAATATAAATATAAAGTATATAAATAGAATGAGAAAAAAATTAAGCAGAGAAGAGCCAAACTATTGATCTTGGAAACTGACACAACTGTTACATGTACAAGTCATGCATTTGTTTGTCTTTAAAGAAATTGAAAGTTCTAGCTTTCTTTGATAACTATGATAGCTTTTCATCTTTTCAGAATAGCTTTGTTGAATGACACCAAGCACTGCTATTGCCAATATGCATTACCAGTAGAGGGCGCTCTGCATGGATCAATCTGGGTAGTTATGCTAATTACGCTCTTTCATGGACACACTGACATTTCTTCATTTTTTTCTTCTCTCCTCGGGTATTTATAATTGATTAGGCATCAGAATTGGCTGACAGAAACCATTCAGATTCAGTTTAGAAAGGTATGTTTGTACAGACTAAAGACTTGTTTCCTGAAATGCCAAGCATACATTTTGCAAACAAAAAACTTCACAAAGACCATAAATAGTAAGCACAATCACATTTATTCAAGACTGAGCCACAGCAAGAGCATGTTCATGTGCAAGCAAACAAAAGATCAGCCTGAATTTACTTCTCCAAATAGCAAACTTTTCTGGGGGGGCACAGTACTGAACTTGGCTCAAGAAGTTCAACCCATGCCTCGTTTGAGATCTGTTTGACATAGATTTTCCTTTCTCTTCGAGTACAATTTGTGTTATCACTGAAAATGGCCATGTGGAAGGCCACAGGTCTCCTGTCAAAGTTGACTTTCTAAGGAGATTTTAAATCTGAGGAATGGTAGAACACCAGTCAAGACAGCTAAAGCGCCCTCAACTGGTAATGCATATGGGCTTGAAAGAATAAGAAATGAGAAGCTGGGATGTACCTTGGGCCCATACGCAATAAGCTTTAAGATGGCTTCAATCGAGAACAGGACCGTGAAGGCGATATTGAGGTAGGTTAAGATATCAACATACTCCTGGGATGCTTTGTATTTCTTTGACAGTGAAAATGAAGGTGGAAGGCATGGAAATTGGGAAGGAGCAAAAGAAGACCCAAAAGTTGAAGGATTTGAAGGGATATGGAAGAGAGAAAACAAACCAAAGCTGTTGTTTTGCCATGAAAATGAATTATATACATGCATGGGGTCATTCAGGGAAGTTTCTCTCACAGGAATTTATGGCGACAAAGGTGGGTCAAGAGACAAATTGTGCGGAAACATGGTCGGGAATAATGCAGTCCTTTTGGCCGGAATACTTTCATGACAGACTTAATGCTGGTCACTTCATTCTTCCATACTGTCAATTACTGAACTTAACGACTGAAAATATCCTAATTCCCAGTATTTCATGGACGCCATAAATGTTGAGAAACATTCCCTTTAAATGCCCCTCTATGATAAAATCAAACCAACAATGATGTGGTAGCATGCTATGAATGGACAATCACAAAGCCAGCAGAGCTGAGAAGCACGTGTCCAACTCAAGATGACAAGCCTTTGAGAGATGTTGGAGACAGATGCCGATGAACGTTTATTTCTTACCCTTGGCCCAAAGCCAATCAACTTCAGAATAGCCTCAATTGTGAACAGGACAGTGAAGGCTATATTCAAGTACTTCAACGTGTCCAAGTAGGTTTGTTCTGCCTTGTATGTCTATGTTCAGGAACAAGACATGAGACATTATACGCAGCTGGAGTTAGTACTGGGTAGATTTTGTGCTATAGTGAATTTACCATTCCTGTTCTGCCAAAATTACTGAACACAGGTAATTTTCAAAGTCCCTATGCAAGGCAGCGAATGGTGTTTGTGTTGGACACAAATAGAAATGTACTTGGCCCCCTTGCATGCCTTCAAAACTCCATCTGCTTTGTTTGTAACTGATCTTGTAAATGGAATTTTGAGATGTTTTAATCTTGCCTTGGTTCGACTATATCAGAAAACATCATTTTGATATAAACAAAAGAAATTTTTTGCATATTAATTAATGCAAACTCCCTTCAAGTTGAGCAGAATGTTTGTATTTATTGAACAAGCCACTGTCACTTGCAAAATCAACCTGCAAAATAAGGAAACGTATGGTAAATCTATTGCTTGACAAAAACACTTGAATTCGATTGCAACTGGCAAAGTTTAACGTCTAACCATGAAAACTGGTCTTGGTGAACTTGGCAATTTACAATTGCCTAAATTAAACCACTCGTGTGGGTTTAAACCAAAGCAATTACTGCTTAATAATGGGATTAACCAGAATGGTAAACTAGTAAACTAGAAACCTATTTATGGTAAATATCCTCTGTTTCCTGTTTGCAATGCTAAGCACTTTGCATGTAACAATACTTTGACTCACTGAAGAGTTTTGGATCATCTTCACAATTTCAAATCTCACACTTTAAAGCTCTGAGTCTTACAGTTTTAAGTCAGTAAGAATGTCTGTCTGTCTGTCAGGCTGTGTCTGTCTGTCTGTGTCACTATCTCTGGTCTGCTTTTTGTTGGGGGGGGCATCATCTGATTAGTCAGTTTGACTGTTTGTGTATGGATACAGTACCTTCATCATCAGGGCAATGGTGTTCAAAGCGATGAGGGACATAATGAAATATTCAAATGGCTGCGACACCACCAACTTCCAGATTTTGTACTTGACAGAGTTCTTGTCTTTTGGCACAAAGCCGTCCGTGGGCTTGGCATGAATACAAAACTCCATGCATTGTTTCTAAGGAGAAAATGTGAGACGTACTGCATCAGAAGGAAGTTTTGGAGATGATCTAGATAGCTAGTCTACATGATGGATGGTACACACCTATCATCACTCATAACATTCCACTCATATTAAAAGTAATATTTGCTAATGGTTCTCAAAGAACCTGCCAAAGGAATGTCACAGAGTTGCTTGCCTGTGACTTACATCTGTGAAGTTGTGTTCCGGACAACTCAGACCCAGAAAGACAACCACTATTAAAGTAATATTACAAGGATTTCAGTGGACTTTGCAAGAAAGTTTCAGGCTTTCAGGTCTTTGAGTTAGACTGCAACGTCTGGAAGACTTTTCAACTAGACTTACTTGATTCTTGTCAATCTCTCCATCTTGGACATCCTGGTCTCCTTGCTCTTGAAAGGTGATGATGATCAACGCCACGAAGATGTTCAGGAAGAAGAAGGGGAAGATGATGAAGTAGACGACATAGAAGAGTGCCATCTGGAGGTTGTTATATGGCTCTGGGCCTCGACCTTCTTCCGTGGCATCGATAGAGTGTTTCAAGACACTAAGAGGGAAAGAGCAAGAATTTGGATTGTTTGGGGGTCCGCTCTTTGGCCAGTTTAGAGCTAGTTTTGCAGTGACAATGTTGTTACTTAAAAAAATCATATCAATACCTTCTATTACAACTTTTTATATTGGCACGAAATAGTACTCAGAGTTTAAATACAGTAAAAAGTAACCACACAAGCTGAAAAAGTAATTTGCGACTTTTTTTTGTTTTACTTATTAAAGTTCAGTGAGTGAAGTTCAAAAGTGAGTGAAAAGTTTGTCCAGCTTTGTTATTTTGCATCCCAAACTTAGCATGCAGGATGAAATATGTTTATTTTCCCCCAACGTCAACAATTCTCCTGAGATTACTGAGAATGCGGAATAGGCAAATTACAAAATAAGACGATTTTTGTCATTTTTCTCTGGAGTGGCACTTTTGTTTGATTTACTCACTCAGGCCATCCTTCGCCGGTGGAAACCGTGAAGAGTGTAAGTAGAGCTGAACCAACATTGTCATAGTTGAAAGGGTACAACTGCCACTCTCTCTTCTCAATTTTCGTTATCTGGTCTCCGGTGTAGAGAAAGTAGTTACCCCTGAATCAAAGGACAGACAAAGCATTGAACAGTCACATACACAACTTTGAAACCCCACCCCCCAAAAATTTTTTTAAAAGTGATCATCATTTTTCAAGACTGTTTTAATCAGAAATTGCTTTCTTTCATACCTAACCAAAATTCAGGACTAGAAATTGGCATTCCAGTTATTCTAACTTCTCACAAAGTCTCTATCTCAAGCGTTTCTTTACGAGTGACTCTATTTGGATAAAAAGTTGGATTTGGTTTCTGGACATATGTTTTAAAATAGCTGAATTGGTGATTATTGAACTTCTTTCAAATCTTTGGCTGAATGAAAGGATATTATCAGGTAGTTTTCACTTACACAAGTTACAGAAAACTTAAGTTTTTATCCCTCCAAAAAAAAGAAAAGTTAAGACCGAACATGAGTGAACTACTTTGGAATTCATAAATGCAAGGAAGGAACTTCAAAGACTTGTTTTGGGCATGGTTACTTACATGCACTCATCCCGTGTGTGCTTAGAGGGATCTGTGCAGTGATAGAATCGACCCTTGTAGAGTTGGACTCCGATGACAGAGAAGATGAACATGAAGAGACCGTAGACGACAGCAATGTTGGTAACATTCTTGACAGAGTTCACTACACAGTCAAACACAGCCTAGGGAGGCGGCATGGTGTCAACAAAGAAAAAGATTACAAATCTCGGTGTTTTTTCAATGCAAGAGTGGATTTGAGGTTGAACTTGATGGTTCAAGACTCTTGTCCCTGTACGTCAAACATTCCTCAGTAAACGTGTGCACTAAAACAAGAACTCAAGCAGTCAGATCAATAAACAACAAGAAAACATGTTGGTTTGTAAATTCTTCACTTTGGCACATGTAGGCCTAACCTAGATATCTCGACTGGATATTAGATCACCTCCAAATAAAATGGACTGTGGTCTCCAAGACTTAGCCTTGACAACTCTAGGAGCCCCGAGCAGGACCAATAAAGGTTCCTTTGGTGGGAACTATACTTTGCTGGTTCAAGAATGACGATGAGATGGATGCATTCCGGTCATATCGCTACCAACCAAATGACCACACCCCATCAACATGGCTTTTTTTCAGCCAATGAGGAAGTGCTTCCTCTCAAGGTAGATAGACCAGACTCACCTTGAGCTTGGGTACCCTCTTGATAGTTTTGAGGGGTCGAAGCACTCGAAACACCCTGAGGGCCTTGATGGTGTTTAGGTTCTTACTGGCACCTGAGCTCCCACTATCCCCTTGCCTACAGTTAAGAAAAAAATTCAAGTAGTGTTCGGCTAAGTTCAGGAACAAAAAAACCGAAGAAACGAAAGTAACAATATAAAAGACTGCTAGAGAACTTGATGGTCACAGAGTAACAGATTCAGTTCAGAGTAATATCAAGAGCAAGCCAGACTTGGTCTGCATTCTTCCACAATGTCATGCAACTTACGATTGGGTGACACCAAAGGCAACCAAAGCACAAATCACAACCGTGGAATCGAGGATGTTCCAGAAATCTCGACAGTAGGATCCTTTATGGAACAGCAAACCCATATCAATGATCTTGAGTATCATCTCAATGGTGAAGATGGTGGTGAACGCATAGTCAAAATATTCCAGAACCTTAAGGGAGAAAAATGAAGGCAATGGGGCATGGAAAGTCACTTTGAAAATCTGTTTTCTCCCAATGTTGGCCAACTCAGAGTGTTTTTACTCTGAGGGAAACAATTCAGATGTCACAAAACCTAATTGTTTAAGGTAACTTTATCAAAAACAGAGATATAACATGAAAGCCTTCACAGACGTGTTTCCCAAGAATTGTGACTTTTCAATACAAATAATACAATAACAGTTTATTCATCCAATTAAGATAAAAAGGAAAATTTACACAGGTTGGTTTCATACAAGTTAGAACTAAATACACAGAAAAGACAAAGCAAACCATTTAACATCTAACAGCAATGCATATTGTAGATCAATTAACACAAATTATATATCAAAGAGATTAAAAAGAGGGATGGGGTGAAATGGCAGAGAGACATTGTACGAGTCTATACAAAAAATGTATAAACAACACAGTATGGGTGAATGGGTACATGTGTTGGGGGAAAAGGGAATAGCGAGGGGAGGGGAAAAACAAAGACAGGGGGAAAAGGGAATAGCTAGGGGAGGGGAAAAACAAAGACAGGGGGAAAAAGGGAATAGCGAGGGGAG